TTCTTGTCAGGATGAAATTTTATGGCAGCACGACGATATGCCTTATCGATGGTCTCCTTTGAATCATTATAGGTGACTCCTAAAAGTTCATAATAATCTATCTCTTGTTCTTCTGAGCTCATTATTTTGTTGTAAAAGGTTCAATATATGGTGAAAAGAAGCTGGATAATTATAATGCTCTACTTAAATATCTGATGTTACACGACTAACCAAAATTTAATTTCTGAAATGTGTAGCTTAAAAAGTTAAGATCGGATACTATAATATAAAAAAAATAAAATTTAATCTAATAAAAATTTTTTTGATTTTAATATCAAAAATCATTTTAAATATAAAAAAATTTTCTTATAAAAATTTTTTTTCTTTCATTGTTTTTTAAAAAATAAATTTGTATTTAGTTTCAATTATAAGTCAATAGTCACATAACAAATATAATAATAATATTATTATTATCTATATAGTCAATCTACCTATATAATTCAATTATATAAACCTTATATTAAAAGTAAGACTTGTATATTAAGTGAAATTATATAAAAGATAAAAGTTTTATCACTAGTTTAAATTATTTAACTTGTTAATTTAATTATATTAAAAAATATTTATCTTATAAAAATATACTGTATAAATAATTAAATATTTTGATACTTTTTATTTAAAATTATTAAAAAATAATATATATTTAGTTGGTTTAAAATAAAAAAAAGTTTTTTTTTTTAATATATATTAGTATTTAGTAAATCATTTTATTATATTATATTTTTGTCTTATGCAATTATAATTTTAAAGAATATTTATTATATACACATATTTTCTAATAAATATTTTAAAATTATAATTCTTAATTAATATAAATTATTAAATTTGGAAATCTGATAATTAAATAAGATACAATTTCAGTTTTTTTTTAGTTAATATTTCAAAAAAATTTAATTGGCTTAAGCTATTAAATGTAAAAATATTAATATTAAATAAAATACAATTTTTATATATTAACTATATAAACAAATTATAAAAATAATTAATTTTCTTTTAATATATACTATAAAATCTATTATATTATAAAAAGCTATTCTTTAATTTGTAAGTATTTTTTGACAAATTTACTTGAAAAATTAATAAAAATATATTTATAATTTATTTTAAAATATTTAAATAAAAGTTTTTTAATAATATTAAAAATAAAAATTGTCATGGATAATTATGAAATCAGATAATACTAAAATTCATATGACTTATTGTTACATGTGCAGCTTTTCTTCTAATATACATATAGTAATATGACATACATAATCGTAATGATAGTAATTCTTTTTTATCTATTGTTATAAACTATTCATCCAATCCACACTACTGGTTATCACTTCAGTTCACAATAAGATAAGTTTTTTTAACTCTTGAAGCATATTTCTGATTTGACTAATTTTTTTACTTTAACTTTTCTACTGACTAGCCTAAAACCCTTCCAATGTTAATTTCCTTAGGCAAAATCTTAGTTTTCTCTTGTAGTCACATAGTCCAAATTACAAGTTTCCTTTAATATACAAAATACAAGGTAAAAGTTTATTTACAAATGTTACTTTATTGTTTTTACTTAATATGTTACTAACTCTTTACTTATTGGTACATATATTTATATATGCACCTGTTATTTATATATTTACATCCAATTACTATTTTACACTACTCTAGAAATTTTTGTCACTAAACTTTCCTACCTAATTTCTTATCTTAATTTTTTCATGAATTATGACAAAAGGATAATGTAATATAATATTACATTACATGGGTAGTTATTTTTGAAGGTGACAAAAATGCTAGATATGATTTTTTCGAACCTAGCTTTTAAACAATACTTATATAATATAAATTTTAGGATCATAACAGAAAATTTTCAGTCCACCTTAAAAATAATTATCCACATGTCTGTACCAATTTTATCCATAACATTTTCTCTATACCTATCTTATACACATTATATATAAGACTAAGTCTGGAATCTGATTTTTTTCAGAATTTAGTTAATGCCTATCATTTGCAATTATTAGTGGTGATGGGGTATCGATTGGTAAAATCTTATTGATATCACATAATATGCAGATCTCTTTGATCTTTCTTTTAGATAATATTTTGATATCAAACTCTAGTACCAAATTGTAACAAAGTATATTCAAGAGTTGCTAGTACAATATAGGTAAGTAATATAATTCCTCTGTCTTATCATTCAACATATCACCTACTCTTATAGTAATTAACTTCCCTGTATCTTGGTCATACTTATATGTATTTTGTCTAATTAGGGCATCATTACTGATATTACCAGTATACTATACTTTATCAATACACTCAGATCTTTAATTGATACTTTTATTTATATCTAGCTAATTCATCAGTGGTTCTCCTCTTGTTGATAAGTATATGATAGAGTTTGTATTATCCAGATGGAATTTGTCTTTGTTATCATTGGTGATTTTTTTATCAGTGTGGTAATATCTTTTTGTTTCTCCTTCTTAGATTTGTTTTCCATTGGTTCTCTTGTTTCTTCTAATGATAATGATAATATTTTCAATTGTGATATGTCTGTGATACAGTTTGGGATGATCGATCTAACAGTATTGGCAGACTCGAGCTCATTGATTGACTTATTTATAATATATCCTTCTCTTTTATCCACTTTCATCTCTTTTTGTTCTCATCTTAACTTAATCAAGATTAACTTTTCTTCAGATATCTGAGTACCTTGTTGCTGCCTATCGTTAAAGTTCCAAATTTTGATTCTTTCATCACACTAGGTTTGTCATTTTCATTGGTAGGCTCTGTGTTTGGCTTTTTCTCGATTTTGATTTCCTTATAGTTTTTATTCAGTAATAACTTTAGTTCTTCGATGCAGTTTCGACATGTTTTTCGTCAATATGGCTTTGTTTTGTTCCTTTATCAATTTTGGATTTGTTTTGTATGGCCTAAACTTCAAGTACTTTTTAACCCATTTTGCTTCCTTAATTATCTCTTTTAATATAGCATCATTTCTGATAATAAGCAATAATACAATTCCTTTTTTCAATTCTTTTACAAATACTTTTATTTTATTTCTTCCAGGTTTGCTATTATTGGGATTAGGATTTCTAATGATACTATTTTGATATCAAATCAGTACTGGATTTACTATAAGTTTAATATAGTAAGTCACAACCCATATATTAACTTTATTATAAGTCAGTACCAAGTCAGTACTATTTTGGTACTCAGTTCGGAACCCTAGTTGGGGTTGACTCTTCTTAGCAGATCCCAAAATTTTTGGACATAGATTGCAATCTTCTTATTCTTTTTTTGCTTTAGTTTTGCAAGTTTTGATAACCACTGCCATCACTGCTTAAGTATTACAAAGCATCAGAGAAAGACTGGCACAAAGCTTTCCTTATGATCGCTCCTATTGTTTCAATTACTAAAGCAATTTTGGCAGACTATGTATCAGTCCGCTACATGTCCTCCAGATAATTAATCACTTATTTCAGTTTTTAATCACTTGTCCAACTGTCGATTTCTGTAATTCTTTCATATCACTCTAGCCATAAGTATAAAATTGGTAACTTCAAAATAGTTTAACATATTATATAATATATATGCATGATTTTTTATTTTTGTGAAATAAAATTTGACTTAAAAAAACCTTTATATCTTCATGCTTTCAAAAAGAAAAAAAAAATACTCTAAAAGCCTATTTCAAAAAACTGAAAAAAAATAAAAATAAAAAATTTTAAAAAATACTTTGCCTATTCATCCATTCATTGTTATAATTAGATTATAACTTTTTTTATATAATTTTGACTTATTTGATAGGAACTTAAACATCTTTACTATTCACTTTAACAATTGCAATTTAATTATTGGATATAAGTAATTTAAACACACTTTGTTGAGAAAAAATCAGTAATTGTAGCTTTCTTTTTCTAGTTTGCTGATTTATATCATGATCTGATACAATAGCAATTGTAGTATCGGCTTCAATTGTATTATTAGTCATTTTTTTTCTATGCACACTACCTTTCTAATATATTCTTGCACAATACTTCTCAAGTAATGTATTTATGGATTGCCGAAGTTCCAATGTTTATAAAATATATTCTTCTACCACTTTAGATTCAGCATTCTGAATAGTAGTTTCGGAAGCAGTAGCTTGGATAGTATTCATAGTTTCAGAAGTAGTAGTAACTTGGATAGTATTGATAGTTTCGGAAGCAGTATCTTGGATAGTATTAATAGTTTCATGGATAGCAATTTGACTAGTAAATTCAAAGGCAGCAGCTTAAGCAGTAGTAATTTTACAGATAATAGTGTTAAACCTAAAAGTTTAACTTTTCTGAAATAAGAAATTTTACACCAAACATTGATCTAACACATTAATTCGTTAATAATAGACCTATAGTATTTTTATTCGCTAAACAACTTTACCTAGAACCCGGAAAAAGGTTTCAGTCACCACTTTTGCGCTAATCAAGGATTTTGGTCAAACGTTTATAGTATCCAATCAAAATATATTGTTATATCACATGACCTAGTAATAATCCCCTAAGTTATGAACACAAAGGATTAAGAAACATGTTACAAATTAGCCTTTCATTAACTTTTCCATATTTGTATTATTTGTTACTTTCAATAATTTAGCACACCAATTATATCCTTTATTTCTTTTTACATAAATAGGATAATCATGTATTTCGTATACAAGG